GCTGTGGGTCAGAATGGACTCCAGGCAGTGGGTGTGGTTTGGGCTTTGCTTCTGTGAAGATTGACAGCCTTGGAGACCCTGTGGGCAGTTCCACTCTGACCTCTAGGGGCGCTGTGGGTCAAAATGGACTCCACGGCAATGGGTGTGGTTTGGTCTGTTCTTCCATGAAGATTGACAGCCTTGGAAACCCACTGGGGCAGTTCCACTCTGTCCTCAAGGGGCGCTGTGAGTCGGACAGCGGTGTTTGAAACATGTTGACGTAAGACCCGCGGCACATTCATGTTATCAGCTGCACACTGAGATGAGCTGGAGCCAGATCCTGCCAGGCTAAGGTGGATGCTCAGCCCAGAGTTGAGCGGCGCAGGCCACACAGCCAGTGAAAGCACGGTGGGAGGGACCAGGTCCTCCAGGCTCTGACACAGCCATTGTCCAAACGTTCTTCTAGTTCATCCAGGTTTCGTTGGGAGCCTTCCAGAAGGATACCAGTATGAATATAAGACGGAGAAGGCCGTCCTGGGATGGCCGGATGCTAGTCCCAGGGCCTGTCTGTGACTCTCTGCCCACAGGGCCTCTGTACGCCTGCTAATCCGTAAGGTACAGCACGCTCCATCCGAGATGGGCCCCCAGCCCCAAGCCGAGGCGGCCTGGCAGTTCTTCATGTCGGACAAGCCCCTGCACCTGGCAGTCTCCCTCAGCAAAGAGGTAATTGCAGCCGCAGGAAGCAGGCACACATCACGGTCATTCCCACGTGGGCCAGGCCTGGGGGCAGGCCTCGGTGCCCCTGCTGGCTGGAAGTCATCTTGTTTCTAGGGATCAAGCCCCAAAGCTGGTGAAGGGGCTTCTTTTCATCGTCTGCAGTAAACCCTGTGACAGTGTCAGCCTCACTTGCATCCCACTCCTTGGCAGCCTGACAGCCTGGGGGGGAGGCCTCCCCTCTGTAGCCCCACATCTTTGCCCTCTGTCCTGCCTGGGGGCTTTGCTTGCTAACGTGGCATCAATAAACCAGTTGCTATGGAGTCAGGACAGGGAGAGCTGGTGTGAGAGCCGCAGGGTGGAGGCGGGACAGGGAGACCCCTAGTGTGAGAGCTGCGTGATGCCCTGGTGGGTTTTCAGTGGCTGGCTCCTCAGAAGCAGGTGGCCAGGCCTTTCTGTCAGGTGCCTCTGGGTGAACTCAAGCTTCACCTTCAGGAGACAGCCGAGCATGGTAACTGGTACCATCCAGGGACTTCATCGCCTCAGGAGGTGTGGTTTTCACTAGCAACTTTCTTGCCTCCTGTTACATTTCACAGAAGCCACATGGGGTGGTCCATCACATATGAAGGCCGCCATGTGTTATGGTGGAAGAAGGGGGAGAACCCCTGGCCGAGGCTGTCTCTGGTCTCTCTGGCTACCAACAGTTGTGCACACGTGTTGGTCAGAAGTCGGTGTACTGTGTGTGTGGATGTGTTTGTGTACGTGCGCTCATGTGCACACACATATGTGGACTTCCACCACTGAAGAGAACTCTGTCACTGGGCTTTCCCAGCAGGCTCCTTTCACTTCCCTCATTCTGCCTCAAATTACCTCATCTACTCAAGACCCTGGCTTACCTGACGCGACTGCGCTCTGAGTCCCAGGCGGAGACTCCCCGTGTTCACCTTGTCCTCATCAGCATCCCCCCGACGTTTACTGGGCAGAGTGTGTTCCAGATCCTTCTCTAAAGGAAACATGTTACTCGTCTTATCTTTCTTATCAGTGTGGGAATCCAGTCCCTTTGGTTCTAGTTAAAGGGATGAAGATGAAGAATTTAGAAAACTGGGCGTTCGAGACACCGTCCCGTTCTTTTCTGTCTTTCTGATTCATCTGCTGACTCTTCCAGATTTATTTCCACGGGGAGCCCATTCCTGTGACCGTGACTGTGACCAATAACACAGAGAAGACAGTGAAGAAGATGAAGGTGTTAGGTAAGCACTTCCTCTCAAAAGGAGAGCGCCATCGCCTAGCTGCTCCCCTCCCCTGAGGGCCACTCCTCTGGTTGGCAAAGGCCCTTCTGGGCCCATGGGTTGCCTCGTTGTCCCATCTGTCATAGAAGTCAGGACTGACCTGGAGGAAAGACCTTGTAGGTGTTGCCTCACTCAGCCTCCTGCCTGGTGGGTTGCCGGCTCACCAGTTACCGTGGAGTTCGCTCCACCTCGTGGTGTACCCTGAGGGTCACAATAACACTCTGCTCCACAGGGTTTTTAAGGCTGATTTTTGAAAGATCACCAGGCCTTTCTATCCAAGTGCCTCTAGGCGGACTTGAACTCCTACCTCTGGGTCAGCAGCTGAGCTGCTAACCGTTTATATTATCCAGGGCCCACCCAGGTTACAACTGACTGCTGTCTTAGAACAACATCCCTGACAAGCGGGTTTCCTATCTTCCCACAGGCATGCCTTCCTGGAGGGGCCCCATTGTCAGGTCGCAGGGGGAGCTGTGGGGGAGAGATTCCTCCTGGAGGGGCCCCACCTTCAGGTCGCAGGGGGAGCTGTGGGGGGAGTTTTCCTTCTGGGGGTCAGTGATGAATTTTTTTTTTGCCAAGGCAGCACCATGTAGTAGGAAAAGTATTGGATTCAGAGCCCCTGGGCTTAATTAAAGAGCTCTGGTGGCATAGTGCCTAAGGCACTTGACTGCTACCCAGAATGCTGGCGGTTCAAACCCACCAGCCACTCCTCGGAAGGAAGGTTGGGCGATCTGTTTCCATAGTGATACTGCCTCAGAAACCCAAGGAGGGGTTGCTGTGAGTCGGATCTGACTCGACAGCAGTGAGTTTGGTTTGGTTTTCTCGGGGAACTTAATTGTGAGCTCGGCCTGTGGAAGCCCTTGCTCCCCCTCCAGGAGTGGTTCCTGGTCTACTTTCCCAGGTTCTGTGAACCTCTAAGTGAATGTGCTTTGTGTGGGGTAAAACGCTCCTGTCGGGCCTTGAATCACCATGATGTGGTGGCCAAGCCTGCAGGATGGGCACCTCCTGCCAGCTGTTCCTACACATTTCCTCAGCTTAAAGTGCATCTAAGTGTAGTGGTTGCTGGGTGCCATCGAGTTGATCCCAACTCACAGTGACCCCATGTGACAGTGGAGAAACTGCTCCACAGAGGTCCCTAGGCCATAGTCTTTCAAGAAGCAGATTGCCACCTCTTTCTCCTGAGTGGCTGGTGGATTCAAACCACCAACCTTTTGGTTAAGCAGCTTAGCACTTAGCCACTGCGCCACCAGGACTGGTAGGGCATTTAAGTGCAGGGGAAGGTCTTATATGAAGTGTTTTTTAAAACTGATTGAAAAGAAACCAGTGACTGGGCTACATGAAAAATGCAACAGAATGACGTGGGAGGGTGGCCTCTAGGTTCACTTCTGACTCAGACGTCCTATGGCCAAGACAGTGGCGTCGTGCCTTGGTGCGAACGGCTGTTCCTGTTTGCCCAGAACCGAGGCTGGGTAGGAAGTGGGAGTTTCGGTGCCAAAATGGGAAGTCCCGGGTGAAGCAGGCCCACAGGTCCCCATGGCCGTCCGCACCACTCGCCTCTTCTTCTGTGTGCCTGTCACAGAGGACGTGGGAATGTGGTTGTACACATAATAGAGGATTCCAGATTTTCTTGTTGCTAATAAAACCCAAAAACCCAAACCTGTTGCCTTCGAGCCGTCCATTCTGACTCATGGCGGCCCCACGTGTTACGAGTGGAACTGTCCCGTAGGGTTTTTTAGGCAGTGATCCCTGTGGAAGCAGATCTCCGGGGTTTCCACAGCACTGCTGGGTGGGTTCTGACCTTTTCGTTACCAGATGAACACAAACTATTTGGCCACCCAGGGACCTTATTTGGATACTGAATTTAACCATTTTGGTTTTGTTTTATGTTGGTTCACTTTGTTTGCCTTTAGACCTTTGGGTTGTTGTTAAGTCCTGCCCAGTTGAGTCTGACTCAGAGTGACCGTGTGTCCAACAGAAGGAAGCACTGTCCGGTCCTGCCCCTTTGGAGGACCTGAAGTTACAGAGCATGTTGCCTGTGGTGTTCACTAAAGTGTTCCACAAAGTAGGGAGATCCATACAGTATGATCGCGCTATTTCTGAAAGTGTAATGAATCCTAACATCAAAGCCACTAACCTGTGAAATAAGCAGTTGACTTTCTGACACAAAACGTGAGTGGGTTTCCATGGCCTGGGCCCTGTGCCAAGTGTATCACATCCATTGTTTCTTTTAATCCTCAACCTTGATTGTGAAGATTTAAGGTCGTCTTTTCAATCCTCTCTGTAGGGTTAGTTAGATGCGATTATCACTCCCATTTTACTGATGGGGAAACGGGGGCTCAGAGAGGCTAAATAACTCACCCCACAGTTAACGGCTCAACTGTGGTCACCGTGAGTCAGAATCGACTTGATGGCGTGCCATTGCCAGTCTGGCTCTGGAGTACCTGGTGGGTGCTGACTGAGCTTGAGTCACCATAATGTGACAAGAAAATCTAGAACTTCCTAGTGTTGATGAATGTGCTCGCTGCTAACTGAAAGGTTGGGGGTTTGAGTCTGCTCAGAGGCACCTCAGAAGGAAGGCCTGCAATCTGCTTCACTGAAAGCCCCGTGGAGCACAGTTCTGCTCTGATACATGTGGCATTGGCGTGAGTGGGAGTCCGCGCCATAGCAGCTGGTTTTCCTGGGAGTCTGGCTGCAGATCCCATCTTCCTACCCACCACGCCCCACCAGGAGTCAAGTATTCACTGCCTCCAAATGGTTTTTAGCTTCTCCAAGCTACTCGGAAGGAGGCTACTCATTAAATATGAGGGGATGTTGGACGGAGGTGAGGTTCAGAGAGCGAGCCAGTGCCGGGAGAGTGTGTGCCTGCAGGGGACCCAGGCATGCCCCATAGGCGCCTGAGAATAGGTGAGCGCAGAGGAGAGGGCTGCTGTGGCTTGTGTGTGACTTATTGGTGAGTAGAAGCAGCCTGAAGATGGGACCTGGAAATCTCTGCAGTTAAGCGTGGGCTGGAAAAGATGAACCTGGGAAGCAGATGGAAATGGTGACCGGTGAGGTCAGTGTCCCCTGGAAGCAGGCGGCTCATGCATGGTGTAGAGGGACCCACACTGATGCATCCTACCCCTTCCCCCTTTGCAGTGGAACAAGTGGCCAATGTGGTCCTCTACTCGAGCGACTACTATACCAAACCCGTGGCTATGGAGGAAACACAGTGAGTAGCAGCTAGCAGTTCCACTTCCTGGGCTGCCCCACCTTTTGGTCAGGTTCCCCTTTTGTTGCATGTTGATGAGGGAACACAAATGCTTGCTGGGCTCTCTGGCTCCACGCCACCTTCCCTCTTCCCACTTGATGGGCTGCCAAGGAAGTTAGCATCTTAACCCCATCTTCACCTTTCCCTGCCTCACCCACCTCCCAGAGTTCTGAGCAATCAACCCAATGGACGGAGGTGAGGGAAGCAAAGGTGGAAATGTCACATGTGGGAACAACTGTGCCTTACTGTTTAGTCTTGGGATGAGTTGTTAAGAACTATTTTTAAAAAGTAATTTATTATTTGTTGTTGTTCAGAATACACACAGCAGGATATACACCAAGTCGACAGTTTCTTTCTGTGCAATTGAGTGACACTGATTCTGTTCTTCGAATGTACAACCATCTCACCCTCTGTCTTAGTTATTTAGTGCTGCAGTAGCAGAAAGACCACACATCGGTGGCTTTAGAAACAGACATTTATTTCCTTGTAGTTAAGGTGGTCAGAGTCTGAATTCACACTGGCGCCTTGAGGGGAAGGCTTTCTGTCGGGTGCAGAGGAAGGCCTTGTCTCCCGGAGCTTCTGCTTCTGCGCGGTCTTCATGTGGCCTGGCATCTCTCTTCCCCCATCTGTGCCTACTCACTTGCTTGTTTAATCTCTTTTATATTTCAAAAGACACACCCTATGCTAATGTAGTCTCATTAGCATAACAAAGACAACCCATTCCCGAATGGGATTATAACCACAGGTATGGGAGTTAGGATTTACAAGTATTGTGGGGGAACATATTTCAATTCATAACAACCTCCTTTTCCAAGTTGTTCTTCTCCTATTAACAGAAACTCACAGCTCCCTGCGTTTCCTGTCTAACCTTTCTAGTTGGTGTTGTCAGTTTGGAGGTGTCAGAAAATTGATACCATGTTTGTCCCAGCACCTGTCAGCACAGATGAAGGTTCTCTGTCTTTCGATCTTCTCATCAATGGAAGATCTCATACCAATGACAACTGGATTCGAAGGGTGTCCATTCTTAGCCCGTTGTCACAAACAACTTTTCTCCCTTCAGTAGAATAAAAAGCAAATGAGAAAACTGTGATGGCTTCTGTGGGCCACACTGAGAGACCTGCCCCATTATACTTTATGCAAAACGGTCAGGTTCATCGAATGCACCACCCACCCGCCCCCACCAGGGGAGGAAAGCTTTGGAAGCTTTATTGAAAAATAGTTCACATACCATACAACTCACCTGTTTGAACAGTGTACCACCCAATGTGTTTTTGTATCTTCACAGGGATGTGCAACAACCATCGCAGTCAATTTCAGAGCATTTTTATCAACTCAAAAAGAAACCCTGTATCCCTTCGTATAGCTGGCATTTCCTAAACACCATTGTATGTAAAAATTATTCTGTGTAAGGGGGTTACTCAAAAAAAACAAACCCACTGCTATCAAGCTGCTTCTGACTCATAGTGACCCTGCAGGACAAGGTAGAACTGCCCCATAGAGTTTTCTAGGCTGTCAACCTTTAGGAAAGCAGACCATCACATCTTTCTCCTGTGGAGCGGCTGGTGGGTTTGAACTGCTGACCTTTCAGTTAGCGGCTGAGCACTTAACCACTGCACCACCAGGGAAGGCTAAGTAAAGGAATTAGATGTAGAATTTAGAAAGCCTTGAGATTAAAGTCATCAGCACGCTCTTTTCTCCTTTGCTAGCATTTCCAGATCTGTTTCTGTAGGGAGCCCGCTCCTGTGACCAGAATTAGAAGGAGGAGGGTATCAGCAAAGACAAACTGATCCACTAGGATAGCGTTGTTGCTGTTGTTGGTAGGTGCTGTCCAGTTGACTCCGGTTCACAGTGACCTCGTACAACAGAACAAAACGCTGCCAGGTCCTGTGCCGTCCTCACAATCCTTGCTGTGCCTGAGCCCTTGTTGCGGTCACTATGTCATTCCACCTCACTGAGGAGTACAGTTTGTTGTGTTTTTTTAATTTTATTGTGATTTGGGGGAAAGTTTACAGAGCAAATTCACTTTCCATACAGCAGTTTACATACACTTTGTCTCATGACATTGACTGCAGTTTCCCACAATGCAACAGTTCTCTTCCCACTTCCTCCCCATAGTTACCTCTTCCCTGTGTCCTTCCCTCCATGCACTCCTGCCCCCTGAGCTGTCTTCCTGTGCATACACAGCCCTTCTTTTTTCCCATGGTTGACCTCTCCAAGGAATGTATCTACCTAATGTAAACATTCAGCTCATATGCCTGAAGTGGGTTCAATTCTAGACCTGAAGGGCAGCTAGGGGCCATAGTCTCGGTGGTTCCATCAGGCTATATCAGACCAGCAAACCTGGTCCTTTTTTTTTTTTTTTTTTTTTAATTTTGAGTTTTGTTCCACATTGTTCTCCCACTCTATCCAGGATCTCCTACATAGATCCCCCTCCTAGTGGTTGACAGTGGTAGCCAGGTACCATCTAGTTCTTCTTGTCTCACAGTCATATAGGCTGAGGATCACATGGTGTACCAGTCACTTGGACTGATTGTTTCCATGCATCTTTGGTTTTCTTCATTCTTCTTTACTTTGGATGAGGAGAGATCCATCATTGCATCTAGATGGCTGCTTGCAAGCTTTTAAGATCCCAGTTTCTACAAGGAGTAGTTTTAATCTGACACACATGAGGTCAACATACGTCAGGCTTGAGTTCAGCCACTGGTTCCTGAGGGTGGCATTCAGGCTTCCAGCCCCCCTGCGAGCAGGTGAAGGAGTGGTCCTGGTGCTGGTTATGGGGCAGTCTTCAGAGCCTTATCCCCACTTCTGGCAGAGGATAGGATGACAGATGTGCTGGATAGGACGACAGATGTGCTGGATAGGATGACAGATGTGCTGGGAGCAGTGGCTCGGGCTGCTGTAAGCTAAGCTCTGCAGCCACAGAGACCTGGGCCTGCCCTTGTGGCTACGCAACCATGGGCATGGCTCACGTCTGTAAATGGGGACCCGAGAGCCTACTCGTCATGGGGTGGTGGAGAGGCAGATGAGAGGCAGCCTGGGGGATGGCTTCCAGACCCTGGAGACACTCACCGCTCATGTCACCAGCTCGATCCCAGGCCCGTCCATGGCATGGTGCTCTGGCATCTGAGATGTCGGGAAACCCACTGCCTGACCAATGACAGACACGGGCAGGGAGAGGAAGAGTGTGTGCTGCCTTGAACTTAACCCAGCCCAGTCTGCACGACTCATGGAGGGAGGGCACACTTTGTCCTCTCTGTAGCCACCACCTGGTGGCACACTAGCCTCCCTTAGAGCCCCAGTTCTCAGTGACAGGAGCAGTTCTAGCCTGATCTTGTTCTTCTTTCAATTTTACATTTCAAATTTATTATTATTTTTTATTGTGATTTGGATGAAAATTTACAGAGCAAATTGATTTTCCATGCAACAGTTCATACACATTTTGTTTCATGATATTGATTGCAATCCCCACAGTGTAACAGCCCTCTTCCCACTTCCTCCCTGTGGTTACCTTTTCCTTCTCTACCTGTGTCCTATGTGTTCCTGCCCCCTGAGCTGTCTCCCTGTGCAAATGCTTCCCTTCTAGTCTCCCATGGTTGACGGTTCTAAGGACCTACCTGGTGTTGCCTGGTCTCAGTGCTGGGACTGACCAGAAGGCCCTGCAGCCCACTGTGGAGGAGATTGGCCGTGGTTCTCTGACCCAGGGGCCAGTCGATCTCATTTCATCCCATGGAACATTCTAAAAATTCAGCAATTCAGAGCAGGCTTCAGAGCTTGAGGAAATGTTCAGCGTTGTTGCCGGCCTGCTCTGCGATTTCACTTCTTGTAAGGCAGATCCACAAGCCCTCAAGCTCTCCTTTTCAGTGAGTCCCGGGAACTTTGGTCCTGGAAAAACGCTTGATGACAAGTAGGGCCTTGTGGGGTCGGTGACGGCTTTTGTGGTTCCAAGTGGCAATGAGCCAACTCTGTTTTTCTTCCTCCAGAGAGAAAGTGCCCCCAAACAGCACTTTGACCAAGACACTGACCCTGTTGCCCTTGCTGGCCAACAATCGCGAGAGGCGGGGCATCGCCCTGGACGGGAAGATCAAACATGAGGACACGAACCTGGCCTCCAGCACCATGTGAGCGCCGGGGCGGCCCCCCGGGCGGGGTTGTGCTGACCTGCTCCCCTCCTGGCCTCCCCTCTCTGGGCCCGTGGGCTGCACGTGCAGGTGACAGGCTGGGTGTTTGCTGTGCAGACTTGGTGGCCCCAGTAAGGACCCAGCTTCCATCCTTGGTGTGATGTAATTGCTACAACGGTATGCTCTGGAGATGGCCAGCGGCCAGACCCCAGCTCGTGCTCTGGACACCGCTGCGCACATGACCTGAGTTTTCTGGACTCAGTTTCCCCATCTGTAAAGTGGGGGCACTGACAGTTCCCACCTCAGGTTAGGAGTGAGATAATCCACATAGTGCAGTGCCCAGCACCCAGCTCAAGAAACAGCGGCTACTACACATTTTTAAACTTTTACTGTGATTTGAGTGAAGATTTACAGACCACATTGGTTTTCCTTCCAACAACGCAAACCCGTTTCGTGACGTTGGCGTCCACCCTGCAGCCGCGCTCCTCACTTCCTCCCTGCGCATCCCATTTCTGTCCGTCCTTTTTGCCCCCCCTTCCTGCCTTCTGAGCTTGGTCGCTGGGCGCACACTGCCTTTGATCTCCTGTGGCCGGTTGTGCACCGTCTGGTGTGACTGTTCACCTCGTGGGCCTGTGTGTAGCTTGGCTGGAAGTTGAGCCACGGACATGAGTTCAATTCCAGGGCTGAAGGGTGACTTGGCAGCTGCTACTTTTTAACCACCGTGGACTCTTGTTGGTAAGGAGATTGGACTTCAGCAGAACGAGGGCCTGGCCCCAGGTCACCCTGTCAGTTAATGGCAAAGCAAAGCCTGCTCCTGACTTGGAGCTTTTTGTTCCTCTCTCAAGTTCAGGGCTGGCTTCTAAGCCCTCAAAAGTGACCACAGCAGCAGAACCTGGGTGACCAGCTCTGTCCATGTGCATGTGTGTGTGTGTACATGTGTATATGTGAATCTTCCATTCAGGGACAATCACGGATGATGGCTTGCAGGTCATCTCAGGCATGGGTCAAAGTGTATTCTGTCCCCAGCTTCTGTCTGGGCAGAGGTAGGGCCTCGGGCTTGTAGCCCCTTTTCCCACTGGAGGCAACCTCTCCCCACCCGGTGCTTAGCTACAGTCCACAGTTCTAGGAAAAGGTGTTTTGCCCTGTGAAAGGAGCTGTGCTGGTGAGCAGGGGGCGGGGGGCGGGCCACTGTGGTCCCATCAGAAGGCACCCTAGACTGGGTTTGTTCTTCCAGGCCCAGAGCCTTGCTTGCTGTAACACAAGGTCACCATCTCAGCCCCCTTCCCAGACCACTCAACACAGCCCTTCCCTGCCTTCTGCCTGCAGCTTCCTCAGCTAGGTGTGCTGCCATAATTCATGTGTCTTAGCTGGTATTTCATGATTTTTCCACACCTTAATTGCTGTTACTAAACCAAAAACGAAACTCACTGCCGTCAAGTCGATTTCCACTCATAGCAACCCCTCCTTGGGTTTTCCAGGTGGTATCACTACAGAAGTAGATTGCCCAACCTTCTTTCTGAGGAGTGGGTTTGAACTGGTGGGTTTGAACCACCAGCCTTCTGGTCAGCAGTCAAATGCCTTAGGCGCTCCGCCACCAGAGCTCCCCAATTGCTGTTACTGGACATCCTGCAATACTTGTGTGCCCCGTGTTGGATCACGTGAAATTACTGTCTGTGTTAAGGTGCCCAGCACAGTGCCTGCAATAGTAGGATTTCAGTACATGCCAGTGAGCTCTGGAAGAGAGGTTTCTGTCAGGCAATGCCATGTGACACTCCGCTCTCTCTCGGGCGTGCTCAACGCCTCACGTACCTCCATTCATTCCCTTCAGTGTTTGCTGGCCTCTCAGTCCGTGCCTGGCAGGATACTACAACTGGGGATGCACACCTGTGGAGACAAGGACAGGGGCAGTCACCGTTCCCTGCCAGAGGCACTAATAGAGTGTCCATGTGCCTTGCCTCCAAATGGAAGTGCAGAGGTGGGGCACAGGGAGGCAGCAGAGGAGGAAGGGGACCCTCCCGGGCAGCTTAGTGTTTGGCAACTCTGGCACAGAAGTACAAGGTGGCCAAGGCAGGCAGAGGCCAAGCTACAGATTGCAAGCTGTGCCAGACTTGGGCTCAACCCTGGAAGTTCTTTCTGGCTGTGAGTACCCAGGGAAGGAGCCTGGCATGGGGGAAAAAAAGTGATTGTCATAATCCAGGCAGGAAAGGCCAGTGGAGGAGGGATTGGCTTGCCAGGGATGTCTGGTTATGGCAGGTGGGGGCCAGGGGAGAGCCAAGGAGGACACATCCATCAGCATTGAACTTCTGGAGGGGAAACGCCGAGATACAATGCATGAAAACCCCCCCACACACCCCAAACATGAAAAGTTCTAGGATTTTGGCAGGGTTGTTATAACAGAGCAGAAGAAAGATGAGGCGGTCTGCTTCTGTGAAGATCACAGCCTTGGAGACCCTCGGGGCAGTTCCACTCTGTCCTCTAGGGGCGCTGTGGGTCAGAATGGACTCCAGGCAGTGGGTGTGGTTTGGGCTT